TCTCGAACCATCACATACTGAAATATATAAAAAAAAATTTATTTTGTAACAAAAGGGCCAGGTTTAGACCACAAAACGGCCCTTAGATCAGGAGTCATTTAAATTATTCTGTAAATACATTAAGTTTACAATCCAGTTTTTGATGCAACTTCTTAACTCTACTGTTGAAGTACAAATGCAGCCACAGACAATATGTAAACCAATGTGCATGGCTGTGTTCCAATAAAACTTTATTACAAAATTAGAGAACAGGAAGAATTTGGCTTGTGGGTCACAGTTTGCCAAGTCCTGCTTCAAATAAACATGGACCTTTTTTGGGTAATTGGTTGTTCTCTAACATATAATAAAGGGTCTTAAATTATATCTTTAAAAGATAGATATAATCTGAATTTAAAAATAAATCCATCTTACAACTGCATGTGACTATACAATTATCTCAATAAAAATTTCAATTAAAAAAATAATTATGCTGAGATTAGCACCAGAACCCCTTTTCTTGATATTTTTTGAAACCCTTTTAATGTAACGTATATTCTTATGAGCCACCCTGGGAACTGACTCATTAACTTTGCAAAATACGTTACAAAATAATTTTTAGCAAAACATTTAGTAATACTCTATTTTAGATGAGGGTATCGCTATATTATTATAAAGTTCCCTTGTAATACAATCCTTCATATTATTTATAATATTGAAAGATAAATTTAGACTTTTTCCAATGGGATAATTAATACAGTCTGATTTACTTCAAGTTACTTAAGAAAATTCAAGATTATCAGTGTATAAATTTTTAAATGATGTGTTTGTGGACCAAACATATTACAAAATAAAAAGAAACAAAAGCTGCAAAAAGAAACCTTAAAGGTTCATTACACACAATTTTCATCAAGAACAGCTTAATTTTCTGTTCCCACTCTTCTGAACCATTTTCTGTGTCACTCAGAATGGCCTAACTCCAACACACAGAATTAGGGCCTTTTCTTGTTTAATGAAATAAGTCAGTTTTAAGATTGTCTCCAACTGCACTAAGATAAAGAGGCTGATGTGGTCATAATAGCAATTCTATTTCTGTGAGAGTGTGCTAGGAGTTCACCCTTACTGAAGCGAAAGTTGCTGCAATTTATACACAGGATATCGTACAGCTTGGAGCACAACAGCCCTGGGTGGCAGAGTGCTAGTCTTTCATTTGAACAAGTTGTATGTGAGGACCCTTTTCTCTCTAGACCTTTGGCTTCCTCATCTGTAAAACGGGACACTGATGAATTGACTGCCAACAACCCTATCACATTCTAAATATGATTCTAAAGAAAATAAAAGATGAGAATTATACAAACCTCATGAGGATATTTCTGAGTAAAGAGTGGTGGAAATTTGAGATTTCTTACATCAGTTAAGATCTAAAAGAAAGAAAATATTACTTAAAAGTTTGTTTTGATAGATGATTCTGTTTAAACATAGGAATATTTTTTGATACTGAGTAATTAAGAAGAAAGGCCAGATATTAAACAGATGGAAAACTTATCAGTGGCTTTTCCTGACTTGATAAGCTACACATAAATGCTCCCCAAGCACAGATGTACACACCATCAATTCATAAAAATCTAGAAAATAATTGATATAATTATGCTTGAATTATACATAAAATACATCTGGATTTTAACTAAAAATGGATTGATTTTTATTGAAAATAATTCAATTCTCATAAATGTACATCTGTGTCCTTAAGTGGACAACTTTTTCTATTAGTCTCTATGCTCTGTTATTTGACATGAAAGAGCATATTCTTTTTTTTTTGAGTGAAGAAAACCAATTCAACTGTGCTAAATACTGAGTATAAAACTATGTTTTTGAAAGTTCACTGGAAAATTTTCATACAAATTATCACTCTCTTTATGTTCCAGAGACAACACAGGGAGAAAAAAACTTAAAACATACACATACACATACTGGAGATTTTCAGACAGAAGTAAAGATATTGAATCCCTGTAAAAAGAGTGAAATGCCAGAAAAAAGCAACAATCTTGGACAATAAAAACTGGATTGTCACAATAAAATAGTTATTAGGAAAGCTGGAATCCCAAGTTAAGGAACTCTTGAAAAGATTAACATGAAAAGACAGAAAGATGGAAAATAGGAGGAAAAAAGTAGACATTTTTAGTATTAAGTCAGGGGTTCCAGAACAAGGAAACAAAAATTGGAGAAGAATTTATCCAAAAAATAATACAAGAAATTTACTAGAAGTGAAGGATTCACAGCTTCTAAGTGAAAGGACCTTTCAAGTGTTAAGTATTATTTTGTGAGGGAGGAAAGATCCATGAAAGGGCTCAATTTTGTAACACCACTGATGCAGGTAAAGCCTTACAAGCTTCCAGACAGGAAAATAAAACAGGCCAAACAGATCCTGTGTAAAAAAATATCAGCATCACAGTGGTTATCAGCTTTCCAACAGCAGCGCTGAAAGCTATCACACGGTAAGTGAATGTCCTCAAGGTTCTGAGGGTGATTATTTCCAGTCTAGAATTGGAACCTGGCCAATTTATCAATTATGTGTAAGGATGGAAAAAAACACATTTTCAGGTACCTGAGGACTCTACAAATATATCTCTTGTTAAGCTCTTTCTGAGGCATTTACTGCAGAATGTGTTCTATCAAAATAAGAGTAATGCAAGAAAAAAGGAAAATACAAAATCTAGGAAACAAGGGATCTGAGCCAGGGAAGTAGGAAAGTACATCCTTGGAAGACAACTTATAGAAGGTCCAGGGTAATCAGTCCAGACTGGAGGATAAAAGCTTGGAATGAGATTCCAGGGGGAAAAAAAAGACAGACAAGCTCTATTAATATGAAGCAGAGATAAAATACTCTTTGATATTTGACAGACTTTGAACATTTGTTAAAAATTACAACAAAGGTTCATAAAAACTAAGCAACTGAGAAAAAGCAATTCTGATTAAAAAGTACTGTATCAGAAAGAAAAGAAAGTACATTATCTAAAATACAGTATTTGCATGGTCAAGGTAAATGTGGACTTCATCTAACTCAAAAATTTTTTATGTTACTTTTTTTTACATTTTTTAACTGAAATAAATTCAGTTTTACCATTCTAAAGTATGTAATTCAGTGGTTTTTATTCTAGTCACAATGTTGTACAACCATCACCACTATCTAATTCCAGAACCTCTTTATCACCCAAAAAGAAACCTTGAACCCATTAAGCAGTTCCTCTCCACCCTCTTCTATCCCTATCCCCTGGCAACTACTAACCTACTTTGTCTCTATAGATTTGCCTTTCTGGACATTTCACATAAATGGAATCATATCATACATGGCCTTTTGTATCTGGCATCTTTCATTTAGTACAATGTCTTCAAGTCACCTGTGTTGTGCCATGTGTCATTCATTCCTTTTTATGGCCAAACAATATTCCGTAATATGGGCATACCACCTTCTGCTTTGCCATTCATCTGCTGATTCACATTTGGGCAGTTCTTACTCTGTAGTTATTATGAAAACAGGACCAGGAACATCTGTATACCTACCACGTTTTGTGTGGACCTGTGTTTTCCTTTCCATTGGTACGTAGTGAGGAGTAGAACTGCTGAGTCATATATAACTATGTTTAACTTTTTGAGGAACTATCAAACTTTTCTAGAGGGTGCACTATTTTACTTTCCCACCAGCAATGTACAAAGATTCCAACTGCTCCACATTCTTGCCTACATTTGCTATTTTGTTTTGTTTTGTTAAATTGTAGAGCCATCCTGGATGTTGTGAAATAGTACCTGGCTGAGGTTTTGCACTTCCCTAATGCATAATGATGTAGTGCTTCGGGCCATTTGTGTATCTTCTTTGGAGAAATATTAATTCAAGCCCTTCCCTCATTTTTTAATTGTATTGTTGGTCTTTTTGTTGTTGAATTATTAATAGTTCTTTATATATTCTGGATAGAAGAACTTTATCAGATATATGATTCACAAATATTGTCTCCCCTTTGGCAAGCTGTATTTTCACCTTCTAGATAGGGTCCTTTGATACATTTGTAACTTTATAAATTTTGATGTCATTTGATTCCTGATCCTTTGTATAGGCTGGACCTGTTTAATACCTCTTTCTGGAAGCTTTCAGGGTATTCTTAAATTTAGTCATTTTGGTTTTTAAATTTTCTTTTTTCCCATTATTGCACAGAATACTTGGTAAGTCTTTTTGATTAGAAGATGGGAGCCCTTTGTTTCTATGTCAGAACTACATCCTCTTCTACCAGGGCCAGGAGTTAACATATAAGGTCTAAAAACCGATAAATAAATAGTGATAAAGGCGTAAGCTCTGGAAATAAGGATATAAATAAGTACCAAGCACAACAGCTGGGAAAGTTGAGGTAAGGACTATGAACAGTCAGGGAAAATAGGACAGAGACCTATTTTTAAAAGACTTTCAGTACTATCTTCCTTAAAAGCCACAGTCATGGTTTATTTTGGGAAGAAAATAACTAACTATGCTTAGTTTGTCAGCTGTTAAGTATATATATGAATGTGCGCCCTTTGGTCCTCTGGAAAATTCTCTGATCAACCAACCACCACAGTCACTCCCTCTCCACCCCAACATTATCCTGTGGTTCTCCTAGTTTTGCACTTACTACAAATTAACTGAGAGTAAGGTATTGCTAAGTTATGATAAACTGAAGCAACAAGAGACAAACAATTCAACTAAACAATTTTTGAAGGCTGAGATTCAAATGAAGGCAAACAGTTTACAAATTCTCCCTGTATAGCTCAGACGACCTCTCCTACTTGAGTTAACTTGTCTGCTGAATCTATTCTTCTTTTAAAATTCTTTCTTTTGTAAACTTAGGAGTATATTCTTCCACCTTTCTTTGAGAAAGGGGAAACTTACCCTGACTCTCTCCATCTGAGTGCCAAATGGGTACAGCAATTCAAACAGAATGAGGCCCAAAGAAAAGATGTCCACTTTATGGGAGTAGTTGTTTCCAAGAATCTGAAATCCCATATAAAAAAGAAACATTAAAAAAAATTAACAGAGAAGAAGAGAAAGTACAATTGATAAAACATCATCAGTGAATTCCAAAGCTGACTTAGCCACTTCTTGGTTTAAATGTAATTGTATGTGTAAAAATGTTAGCAAAGAGTTAATCACCTCTCAAGCTTCTTTTCTTCAACTCACTACAGTGAGAGTAATTAAAATACTCAGCATTACAGAAGAAAAGCCCAGGTACAGCTCTGAGATATGCATCAGTAAAATAGACCTAGCAGAAACCTGGAGCCTTGCAATGCTAAAAAAAGTTAGTGGGAGCCAGTAAAAGCTCAACAACCCCGAGGTGAAGTTTTTCAAAGCAAACACTATCTAAAGCAAATCTCTCATTTCTAATCATCTTAGTCCTCACCCATTTTTGAGAAAATCTTCATTACTCCAAACCACTAATCAACTGTGGTTAGCCCTCATTATGGCACTTAATTATGGACTACTTTGCATTGTTAGTTGTATTTTACATGTGCATATTTCTTATTCTTCACAACTAGATTATAAAGTCCTGGAGGGAAGGGAACTGCTTCTTTTGTGTTCCAACTGTCCGGCACTGGGCTAAGTATAGAGAAGGCGCTCAATAAAACCGTACTTGTTAGAATAACACGAATTACAACCCCCGGAGCTATTAAACAAAGCCTTATTCAAATTAAAAGTGACCTCCCGGGACTCAGAAGAACCCCTTTATTTGTGAAAATTACCTTAGGCCCTAACTTGACATTTGGCAAAGGCTGAAGAGGAGCATTACTCTGGGGATGCTCCACATGGGCATTTTCTTAGCTGGGGTTGTTGCAAGGTAGAGGCCTGGGATTCCAAGCCCTTCACAGCCTCCTCTCTAAACTGCACTTGGTATTAGTCCACATGCTTCCTTCCGTGAGCCAGCCTGCCTCTATGCTTCCAGAATACCCGACGGAAGGGCTCCATGATGGCGTCAGCTGCACTGCCTCCTGTTCTTCCCTTTTCTCCCTGGGGTCTGGGAGGTCCTCAAAGAAAATATGCTCATAAACACAGTGAAAAGGACACCCTGTACATGATCTGGAGAATATAAACTAAACATACCTTTGAGAAAACAACTTGGCAATAAATGTTTGCTCCTACTTAATGGTCCTATTTAGTTTCATCTACCCTAGGGTAGATGGAAATACGGACAAAGATTTGTACACAGGGATAGTTGCCTAAGTGTTGGTCCAAAATTTACAAGTGACTATAATGTCGAAAACAAATGTTGAATAAATTGCTTAACAGAGAGAATACAATGCAGCCAAAAATATTTTCTAACATGTAATAATGTGAGAAACGTTTACATTTGTACATTGTATCCAAAATTTTAGGAAGAATCCCAATTTTGTATTCCAAAATAAGGTGTGTATAAATACGTAAGATGTGTATGTATGTATACAGAGAAGGAAATACTATTTAACATTTCAGAGATATTTTTAGTAAATGATTTTTATTTTTCTTTATACCTTCCTACATTTTCCATATTCCCTGCATAGTAGATTCACAATATATACAATCAGAGAAAAAAGCATTATTAAATATATTTAAAAAACAAACATGGACTCATGAACACAAAGTGATTTTCACAAAATATCTAAAAAGTAAGGATTTAAGTAGGAAACTTCAAAGGGGGTAGAATATAACACCTTTGAGAGGTTACGTTGATTGTTTTATCACTGTGTGGTACTAGAATGTGGCCCCTGTATTTCTTGGTTAATTGCAACCAAGAACAAAGTAACTGGTCTCTGCTCTTTTTCTCATAGAAGGATAAGAAAATAAAGATCTGTGATAAAAAACATTTTTAAAACAATGTGTTAGTACAGCTTCCCAAGTCTGGATAAGACAATTCATAAGCCAAAGTATTTTGAGAGACTTATTAAAGGGATTTTATAAAGGGTCAGTTTCTGTACTTAAGAATATAGAAGAAGAAGATCATTAAGAAGAGAAAAAGCCTGTCCATTTTTAACTACTGTACAGTCATGACAAAATTTCTACAACTATCCTTGGTTTTCCAGTATCTTCAACAGTAACACAGCAACACTATATATAGTCACCAATTTCATCCTTTCTTAGATGGCAGCCTCTGCTGATAGCTTACATCTTAGAGAAGAAAAAACAATTTCCGAGAGTTAAAAATGCTATGATAAGAATAAACAGTGTAATAGGCTAGATCCTGACAAGGAGAAGACAGTCACCTATTTCAAAGAGGGCTGGGTGGGGGTCTCCACCTAGTGAGCCCTTCATGCACATGCATCCAGGTAGAATTCCTTTCATTTAGTCATTCCTGTTTTGTTTTCACAATACTTAGAGTGAAGGTCTATTTCTGGCCTCTTGAATAATGATGAACATAAAAAAAAAATGCCATCAAAAATATTTTAGCGTCAATTCTGATACATACCATGTAGAAAAAAAATTAGAAAACACGGAAAAGTTCAAAATGGCTTTCAAAGTTCCCTATATTGAAGTTCTGACTTATTTTAGGGCTATTCCAGTCTTTCTTCCTGTGGACATAAATATGTCTTTGATATTTCACACAATTTTAATTTCTCCTTTCAGCAGGGCCTGGCCACATCATTTGACCAAGATGATTCAATTACTAGGGCTAATACATTTTTTTCTACTTAAGCCAGTTTGGGTACTTTTAGTTGCAAATACTCAACTATGTGTAATAGTCTTTTGTACATTAAAATTGCTGCTACATGTATCCTTGCGAATTTCTAAATTTAGTTGTTTTTCCCCTTTAAGTTATATTTGCTAGAGAGGATTACCTTATTTAAAAACTCTCTAAATATACCATAATGTTGGTTTACTCTACTGTTGCACTAGTATCAGTTTATTCATGTTTTTCAACTTCATGCAGCCTCTTCTGCCACCTACTGTGCAGATGCTAAACCACTGAAGGTGCTTCTACAATGAAGGCCTTTGAGAACTTTGAGAACTTCCTGTGAGTTTCAGTCCTTTTCATTGTTTTCTTAATAATTGGCATAAGTATTTTTTAATTTTATTAAAAACCTACAGTTATTCAGAAGGCATTTTAAATTTCCGGCTAGTCAAAACAGAAGCAAAAGCAGATAAAAACCCCAAATCAAATTAAACCACTCTCATCTTTTGTTATTGCACTATTATCATTAAAAGACATTTACACTTTCTCTTTTCAAATACACTGCTGTTTCTTTGTGGTCTAGTAGTGCAAAATGAAAGTATATCTTACTTTGATTTGTTCATCAATAAACGTCCAAATGCCAACTATGTATAAAGCTTAGTATATTTTTCATTTACCTTCTGTTTTTAAACTTTGTTTTTTGAAGAAACTTTAATTCAATCTGAAGTTTTCCCTTCCCTTTCATGGGGAAATTTAAACATTTGTTTATCATAACTAATATTCAGCTTTATCAACACTTCAAGTGCTGTTTTGTGTTTTTTATTCCCATACCTTTTCCTTTTGTTGTAATTTGTTTTCGTCTTCCATAATGATACAGAATGTAGAAGTATTTTTAATTGTTTGCTGAATTTAGGTATATATGAATCCCTACTCTGTCTTTACTTTCTTTGTTCTTACCATTTTCCATTTCCTAATCTTTATTAATTTAATATGGGAATCATAGGCCTAGCTTACTTTGATGACTGTCTTTAAAATTATAAAGCTTTTACTAAGAACATTTTTGGATTTTTAAATTCAATTTTGCTTTGGTATTCATAGTCACAAGCCATGGGCACATGTAATAAATTGGTTTTGATGTTCACTGCCAATATTTTTATGTTTCCCTTCCTAAATTCACTTTCAACAGGTAACACAATCACGTGGTTCATAATAAAGAAGCGTGTAAGGAAGTTTTTCTCCCACCAGTCCCTCACCTGTGGAGCCCCCACCAGCCACTTTACCCTGCCAACTGCCTCCATAGCCATTCATTAACTATACATCATTCCAGAGTTTCTTTAGACATAAGCAAATACATATCTATCTTTCCTTCCTTAAACGAAAGGTTTTTTTATGCACACATGTCTGCATCTGCTTTTTTCACTTAAGAGATTCTTTGTTAACTCTTGGTTTAACCTAAAAATGCCTGATTTCTTTGTACATGAATAACTTCATGGCTGGACACAAGATTCACGTGTCACAGATCATTTTTCAGAATGGTACATGTTGCTTTATTAGGTTATGTGCTCTTCTCGGGTTCGGTGCTACAGAAAATGAGTTATTTAGCTATAACCCTTTTTCTTCCTACCTAAATACTAATAACATTTTTCCTTCATCTTTGAAATTCACAATGTCTAAGTATAGCGTCTTTAAAAAATGTTTTTAATTATATAAAAAAGGAAAATTTCAAACAAGTAAAAGGAACACTTGGATAATACAAAAACTCCGAAAGTATGAAAGGGCTTTGTATAACAGTAAAATAAAGTCCTCTTCAAAGGCAATCCCACAACTGGTCTCCGATATAATATTCTAAAGATAATCTAATCAAACTGTGGCCTATGTATCCCTGGGGAACCCAACATCCTTTCAGTCTGCAAGGTCAAGACTATTTTCATAATAAAACGAAGACATGATTTGTCTTTTCACTGTGTTGCCATTTGCACCGCTGGAAATTTAGCATGAATCAAGGCAGCTGCACCAAACTGTACGGTAATCGTATCCTCCAGGGCCACATGCTCACACTTAAAAAACACAGAAGAACAAAAAAGACAGTTTCACTTAAAATGTCCCTGCTGAAGCAATAAAAATTATTGATTTTATCACATCTCAACCCTTAGGTGCACATGTTTATGATATCCTGTGTGACAAAATGAGAGGTGCTCACAAAGCGTTTCTGCTCTGAACCACAGTACAGTGGCTGCCTCAGGAGCAGGCACCTGCGCACCTGCTGGGCTGCCAGAGGACCCAGCTGCTCTTGCACTGAACACCATTCTGACTCGGGAGGACAATCAGTAGACAGGCTCTGGTTATTTGGACTTGGATAACTGACATTTTCTTAAAGCTGGACAAAGTGAGAATGTCACTTTAAGGAAAGTTCACAGTATTCGTTTCCAATGCTAAAAGTTGAGCTTTGAAGTGAAAATCAGAATTTTAGAAAATTCTTATTTAGCACAGGGAACTGACAGCTTCCTAATACTTAAAGCCTTTTCTGGTGAGATTGGTGGGGATATTAATCAAAGCAACTTTTAAAAATGTTGCATAGTAAATTGTGACAACTTTTGGAAAAGTTTGCATAACTAAGGGAACCAACAGTTTTAAATTCCCAATGTGCAATGTTATAAAACCATGCCTGGGTAAAAGAGCCATTCTAAGTGCTCATGGACCAAGGATGTTAAAGGAACAGAAGTACAAAATGTTTAATGATATGGTTTTAGATACCACAGAGCAAATGAGTTCTGATAGATGAAGAATACCCACAGGTATTTCAAAATGCTGTTAAAATACCCCTCCCTTTCCAACTTTCAGAGCTGTGTGAGGTTAGATTTTCTTCATTTATTTCACCCAAAATAATATATTGCAATGGATTGAATGCAAAGGCAGATAAGAGAACCTAGGTCATTTAAATCAGTTATTAAAGAGATTTGTAAAAATGCAAACAAATGCCACTCCTAATTTTTGTTTTAGAAAATATTTTTAATATCTTTATGATGTGATGGCTTAATATTGCTATTTTTTAACTGAATTAATAAAATTTTATAAATTCCTCAGTTTCCATCTCTAACATGTAAACACTGACAGAAAAAACACCATAAGAAAAAATCTGGGGTTCTCAATTGTGTTTACAAGTAAAAATAGGTACTGAGACTAGAAAGTTTGAGAACTGCTTCTTTGAGCATATACAAGCTAGTGAGTATTATTAGTCAGGGTGGAGGACGGCCAGGCTGCCCTAACCCCACCACTCTCCAGTCTCTGCTTTCCCTTTTGGACCAAGTGTTCCACACGGCAACATTCCCAGCCTACCGACGACCCTCGACTTCCTGCCATGGTACATCCTGGCCGTTGCCTGTGAATGACTGCAGGGGGCAGCTCAGTACAGTACCTCTGAAGATGGCACCAGCTGGCTCTGGAAAACAGTTCCTACACAGTTTACATGCAGCAAGGTCCAGTTAAGTTTCAGAGGTGGGCATTCAAGGTCTCTGGTTTTCTGATTGCTGTCAGGTTCTGGTTCAGAAGGTGAGCATGTTTTATGCACTGTGAGTATTTTCTTAATTCATCCTCAATTCAGGTTGTAGAAATTGCATCCTGGTTATGCTGCCTGCGGAACTCTACTAACAGTTTTCATAATTTTCAGTTTTTATGTCATTGGGTATTTTAAGTAGAAGGTGGCAGGATTTTATGGGGCACATCTAGCTTGCTACTATGCTAACTGAAAATCTATCTTTAATTCAGAAGGACAACAAAAAACTCACCTGCTCTGGGCTCATATACAGTTTGGTCCCCACTTGTCCTGTGTGTCTGGCATATGCTGGCATCGGGGTCAGAACCATGGGCTCTTCTTCATCCTGGTCCATTGCAGTCACTAATCCAAAGTCTCCTACCTTCACCACATCATCCATTGTAAAGAATATGTTGGAAGGCTGGAAAAGAAAACAGACAAAAGCACGCTGGGTGTATGGAGAGAGAAAGTGAAGAGAATTACTTGAATGACAATATACATACAAGAATCTAGATATTCTCAAGCATGTTTCTCTTTAAAATGGACTAATATGAAAATAAAAACCCTCCTTCAATGCTAGGTAAGTGTAGTGAGTAAAGAAGAGGGAAGGGCAGCAGAGGAAGCCAGCATTTACTGAACAAATATTTAAATCCTCAGAGATTTACATTCCCTAGGTCCAGGTACTTAATCCTCAATCTCATTATTCTACATACTCTCCCTCAGCAAGCTGTTCCACATTATGATGTAAGCCATGATTATAATAGTGGTAATAATAGCAAATGCATATATAGGACTTGCAATGGGACAGGAGCTATTTTAAGCAGCCTGCTACTCTTTATTTTTTATTACAGTATTATTGATATACACCCTTATGAAGGTTTCACATGAAAAAACAACGTGGTTACTACATTCACCCATATTATTGAGTCCCCCCTATACCCCATTGCAGTCCCTGTCCGTCAGTGCAGTAAGATGCCACAGAGTCACTATTTGCCTTCTCTGTGCTACACTGTCTTCTCCATGATTACCCCCACACCATGTATGCCAATCATAACACCCCTCCCTCCCCACTCACCATCCCCCACCCCTCCCCTTTGGTAACTGCTAGTCCCCTCTTGGAGTCTGTGAGTCTAGCAGCCTACTCTTAATTCATGTAATATTCATGGATCTATTTGTCCTATTAGTCTCTCATTTCACAGATGTTAAAACTGAGGCCCAGAGAAGTTAAGTAAATTCCTCAAGGTTACCCAGCTAAAAAGTGGTGGAGCAGAGATTCAATCCTGTCATTCTGGCTCTGTGAGAAGAGAGCTTCTGCTTCACTGCCACATATCCATCCAGCAGCCAGCACGGTTCTTGCCCTGTGGTAACTAATCATTCCTGTTTGATGAAGGAGTCAAACAAACTGATCTTCAAGTTTTGTTTAAGAGGGGGAAGTAGGCTATCAAGGAGAAAAGAGCTCTTAGCTACAAGCCTGTATGGCTTCTTCTAACACCCATATGCTCCCATACACTCCAAGACCTCTGTCCTGAGTTCTAAACTCTCATACGCAACTGTTTATAGGATACATCTAACCAGATTCAAACTCCCCTACATGAAATACAGCATCTTTCCCTCAGAGCCTACTCTAATCCCAGCTAATGTGACTACCATTCATAGCCCTTTATATAAGGAGAAAGGAAGCTCATGAAATTGAATTTCATCAGGTCGAAAACTGCCAGACAATTAACAATTTATTCCCAAACTCCAAAATGCCATTATGCAATACTGACTTTGAAGCAATGAAGTTACTGCATAAAACCAAAGTCTCTGTGTTTACTGGTAATAACCTCCTGCTCTCCCACAAATAACCTTCCAGGAGAGACAATGATAGACTATGCTGCCTTAAATTTCATCTTTCCTCCCCTCTCCCATCCTCTGGCGTCAGTTATTTACTGAACACTACAATAGACATTTTTTTTGGTTTTCCAGCATCTAACCCTCTGTGCTTCCATTAGAAATATCCTGACTTGCCTTTGGGAATTCCCCGCTACCCAACTGTGCAGCAACCCCAGGGGTCGTGTGGCAGTCATCCTGAGGCTGCCCCCAGGGGAAGCACAAGCCAATCAGCACAGTCCCATCGCCTGGTTGGGAGACTGGTTTAGGGACCGGTGTGTGTCCTTGGTTCCTCAGTTAAAGAGAACCCAGGACTTCCAATCGATAGTGGGGGAAGGAGACCCTTTCTCCAAAGACTTAAAACACTAGTCTTTCTGAGACTGTGAAGGGACAGCCTGCCTGAAATGGAAACAAGAAACTGGGGGCAGAGGGAGGCAGCTCTGGCCACATCACTTATCACAGATAAAGCTCCTCCTGAATCTTGGATGGTTCACTTACATGGACCAATAAATGCCCTTAAATTTGATTAAATTAGCATAAATGCCTTTGGTCACAAACAAAAGCATGTTCAAAATGAAATGATATGAGCATACAGAGTGTGTCTGGCATTGTGCTAAGGGTGTAACAGGTGAACAAAAGAGACATGGCTCCTGCCCCTGTGGAAACTGGAGGATGAGGAATATGAATGTGATGAGAATTAGAAAGGAGAAATACCAGGTTCTATGAGGACACTGGATTTGACAACTGAGAAAAAGCCCAAAGTAGCTAGAGTGAAAAGAAGAAAAGACTAGAAGTATGGAGAATCAGGAGCTACAGTGCTAATGACAAAAACTGACTAAAATGCAAAACGCAGAGGGGGCCTGGAAGGTTCAACACTGCACTCAAAGATGGGTCACAATGAAGACACTGCATAGCCTTTTTAACTGGAATAAAAATCTTGGGGGTAATTTCTCTGGCACATTAGGAATCTTTAAAAGGAATTTATCTTTACAAAGGAATAAACTTTTTGATTTCCAGAAAAACTAAAGGGCAAATTTTTTTCTTGCAATCTTACTGGTACATAGACAAATACAGAAAAAAATATTTAGACATATTGTAGCATTACACAAATATTCACCAATATCTTATTAACATTATAAAATCAGAATATTCATTATTAGTAGAAACATAATTATATTGCCTTTCACCTTGACCTTTTGTGTATAGTGTTATGTATAAGAAGAATATGTGTATCAGCTAATTGTTTCCCAGCAAATGATAAATGTTTACTATATTCAAACAGCCAGCACTCTCTTAAGTTAGGCATTATCTGGCCTCCTGGAAGTTGTTGTCTTCTCTCTTCTAACCAAAAAAAATCATCTCTGAACTTTTTATTCAGTGCAGAATTCCTGGTCATCAGTTTGGGACCACATCAAAAATCACTGAAGCATGGTGATTTTATATTAACTCAGTAACTTTGGAAAATTGGAACTATGTTTAAATCTTGTCCCTATTATTCCAAAGTCTTAAAGTATATTCAAGGATTAACAAATCTACTGATTTTAGAAGAAAATAACTTGTGCAATTAGCTCCTAGTTTGGTGTCTGAAACAAACATCTGTGGTTATACAAGACTGAAAATACTTAAAATGGGTCTAAATCTGTTAAGCACTTAAGTTACTTCCATCAGAAAAGTATTTATATGTTCACTACATAGCTACTGATGATCACTATCAGCATACAGAATATGCAGAAACTATGTAAGTATAAGTTCCATATACTTATTGCAGAAACACAGAAATATTGAGGAAATATTACATTGTAGTGAGAGGTTTATGCAATTTAGCAAAACCTATTGATACAGTAGCCAATACTCTATATATTGAAAATACGCTTGAAGGTTTTGGTGGCAAACAATCATTAGCTAACCATTTGCTATCTTTCTCCAACCAGTTTCTCAAGCCCTTCCCCCAGGTCTAAATAGGGGCAAAAAGCTTTGAGCTCTGCCCCAATTCAGAGATGACTAGTGGAGGAACACTCGTCTCTCCTTCCACTTGAGTCCCTTTCACTATGCTGCTCTGGGGCCCTACAGGAACAGTGTCAGGGTCCCTCAAATACATGGGAAAAACAGGGCATATATGCTCATGGTGGATTTTTTTTCCCATCAGAGGGTTTGACAGTACTTTTTACTGTAAAATGAACATAAACACATTACAGAGGAGAATGCATGATCTGCCTGAAGGTTTCAAAGCCTGAGACTTCTTGTGTTTGCAGCAGGCACCTTCAGGTTACCTTCCCAGACCTCTGCTCCCTTCTCTGATGCCTTTACTCTCCTTTGCTTTTAAGGGCATTGAGTCATAAGACTCACATGCACAGCAAGTGCTGTTTTCAATTACAAAGCATCAGACTGGAAGCCTTGGGTGAGGTCCCACAAATACAGACCTTCAGGTCCCTGTGCATGAGCCCTTTATTGTGCAGAAACTCCACTGCCTCTGCGATCTGCAGGAAGATGTGCAGACACACGCCCCTCTCCCTCTCCTCTATGGTGCACCGGCTGTTCATCCAGTCTTTGAGGTTCTCCTTCCTGCACAGCTGCATCTGAATGTAAAGATACACCTTGGGTGAACTGGGCTGCAGTTTGTCCACAGGGTTTTTAGTGAGATCTAAACTTAGAGTGGTAGGTCTTGGAGGAGAAACAGACAAAGTAGGTTCAGAAGAAGATTTGCTACTGGAGTGCTCCAAAGAAGTTAGTTTATTAGCATAATGGTTGCCAATATGCAGCCCGTTTGTTTTGAGCTCTTCTTTACTGGATGCATTATCGCAGCCAGAATCTTCAAACACTATAGAAGAGGATGTTCTCTCCCTTGACCTTACAGAAGAAGATGCTTCAGAAGGACAAAGTTCAAAGGAGTGCCCCTCATCATTGTGATCCATAGTACCATCTTCCACATCACAGTCTGTCAGGCAACTGTCTTGGAGGTTGTACACAGCATCCACTGACTCGCTGTCTCCGTGGTCCATTCCTGAAAATTCCAGTGGGGAGAACTGGCTCTCAGATGAACTTGTCTGGCCACAGGAAATCCCTACTGAAAAAGACCTGCCCCTTTTTGGCGAAGGAGCTATGATTTCTATATGCTCCTTTGTGGAGAAAGGATCCATTCTGCGTATTTTAACTGATGGTGCATCCATTGGACTAGGAGAGCTGAGTGGCCAGTCTGTGCTAAAAGTGGGAGAAAGACAAAGGAATGAGGAAATACGGGCTCATTACATTATCTGAACTACACTCTTTAACAGCTTCAACTTTAATAAAGCCAGTTACCAAATGACAAACAACATCCAGATTAAATGACAACGTGCATCATGGGACATCGCATTTCATCCATTCCTTCTGAAAGACTGCGTTTGAAAGCTTAATTTATACTTGAAACAGTTATCTGGGACTGTCGGCTGAGGCCTTTGAGTAAAACACAAAGCACTGAAGGGACACCAAGGCTAGGACTCCTCGGTAGCCACAATTTTGAAGCCCTGTCCAAATTCAGGCAGCAGTTTACGGGGCCTTTGAGACAGGGGCCCCTTCGCTTTGTCCTTCCATGGCTTGGCTATAGGCTACAAGGGTCACTGTAACAAATTACTTCAGGCGGTTCTAGGGCTGTGTTTAGTACTTTTAGGCAGGAATTTTACTCCAGCTGTTTGGTAAATAAGCCTATTTGCAGCTGCTTCCTCTTTGTTTTCATTTAGTGATTTTTAAAATGGCCTTCCTTCCTATAGCACAGCATACTTCACATGGGAATTATCTTCAGGTTGCCCAAGTTTATGTATTTTTAATTGCAAATAGTTTTAAACTGTTTTAAAAGGGAGGTGTAAAGTGTTAACTACTGATAAACCAAATAAAAATCTAAAATAAAAAAATGGCAACAAAAGCAGGCAATATTTTCTTATTGAGAAAAGCCACTGTAAATCCCTCGGTGAATTATAATTCATAAAGCCTATCTACTAATAATTTAAATAATTAATACTCTCAAAACAAAATCAACTTTTCATCTAATAGAGAATACTCTAAAACATGACAGAGAACGCTAATTTGCTGTTATTTTTCTTAAAAAACGAATTCTAAAGCCATAGAAATGTTATTTTGTTCACAAAAGCAAAAAACTAATCTGAAGGAGAATATTAGTTTCTAAGTCTGTGTCTATGAAGTTACCTTTCATCTTTCAGCCAAATTTCATCCATTTTTTCTTGCCACTTCTCTGGTGGTGTTTCCAACCAAGCATTGAAGTATCTGACAATTCCTGGGTGTTCAAGCTTGGCTAAGGCTTTAACTTCTCGCATTACCTTTTCCCGGGCCAATTCCCTGAAATAGAGAAAAAAGACCACCCTGAAGGTTGCTCTGATCTGAACAAGCAATCACATCCAGTAGTAAAAAATAGTAAGACAACATTCTCCTTTGAATCCGAAATTAGAAACAGATGAGTTCTCTTACTGGCATGATTCTGAAAAGCTATACAGGAAGTTTGGAATTTTAAAAAAATACGTGTGTTATAGGGTTTTTCTCTTCTAGAAATAAGTGCTAAAGCACTTCTATTGCCTTATTCAAATGAGGCTTTCTTAGCTGACTAAAAGTGAATGAATTCATACCCTTTAAAATTATTACCTAGCGTGAATCAATGGAGGACAAATAGGTGTAAATGGAGTATCAGAAAAGAGAGCTCAGCATTGCAGCTCAGGAGGACAGAGAATAGTCACATTGGTACACATGTAATTGGTACATATAATCCCCAAAACCTGTAATAGCATGTTTTGCCTTGTAAAGCAAGCTTCCACTACTGAATATCACAGGCAATGAAGTAAAGATTTAATCAAGAATCAATAGGAGCTTTCTACAATAGATGGAAAGGAAGGTATTACTGGAAGCCTACTATCTTTAGCACCAAATTGTTCTGAGCCAGAAATTCCACTTCTGGGAATCTATCCTAAGTACACAGATGTGGTCAAAAATTTATATAAAAAGTGAACACTGCAAAGTCATATTTAACTGTAACAAACTGAAAACCTAAATTAACAATAAGAAACAGTTGAACAAAATATGGCACATGTATTAACTGGATTATTATCCAGCCATAAGATACTTTTAATGTCTTTTAGCATTTTAATGAAATACTCTTAATAACATGGAAAATGCTGAGGATACAGTGAAGCAAGCAATAGATAAAACTGTACTGTATGGGTAACTATACTACCAACTAGGTAAATTTACAACCAGGAAAGAAATCAAAAGGAAATACCCTAAAATATTAAGAGAGATTATTACTGGGTAGAGAAGACACAGATAGTTTTTGTTTAATACTTTCCCTTATTTCCACAGTAAATACAGATGGTGCTATGTATTAAAGTCTGTAGTTATAATTCACTATGGGAAAGACCAGAGTTGTTAAGAATCAAAAACAAGGGCAGATTTTTTTTAAGTAGATGCAAAGCAATCTAAATAGATCACACCTTTTAGGCACCTGGCTACCTGGTAGCAGCTATAGAAGCTAAGTTTCAGAAGGTCAGAAACTTTGTTTCCTACCTTATCTATGGAGTATAGCAAGAAGGACATATTGCCTATGAGATTAGTAATATAGTGCTGACTCCAGGTTTACTAAAAGTATCATCCCGTACCTGTTAGGGAGGCGGATTCTCTTGATGGCATAATTGCAGTCATCTACCTTGTTCCTGGCTTCAAAGACAACTCCAAACCCACCACGACCCATGCACTGAACTGGTTCAAAGTCTGTTAGGTATCTTAAAAAAAAAAAAGAAATTTTTAAAGCTTGCAAATAGTTTTCAATTTTGAAGTAAGGTAATGAATCAGCTCAATTTATTTTATGATATAGAAAAAGTATATAAACTCAGTAAACCTCATAGAATTTATTTTAATAAAGAGTATAGTTTAAATTCCACTAATAGCATTCTTTGTTCTGCTTTCTGTTGAAGTAAAGCAAACATACTCAAAGTTGATAAAAAATAAATAAGCTTCTGTTTATTGACTGGGAATCACTTGTTAATCATTTGTTCTTATAGCAACTGTGCCACTGATCAGTCCTAATCAATACTTTCCATCATCTATCAAAATATTCTATTCTTAATTCTCTAACATTTTACACCTCATGTGGCATTCTGAACTCAGAAAATGTATTTTCATCTTATGTGAGTGCCTGTAAATTTTATGGAAAAAAATTAATCAATTCTACTATATATAAGTACTTTCTTAGAAATCTCTCTAGGAACCAAAGCCATCTCAAATTTGCTGGGTTGCCTCATGAGTCAGAATGGGCATCACCGGGGTATTCAGACAGATGCTAACTCACTATCTGTCACTCAGAGATGGGCATCCACATTGTGGCTACTTCTCCTTTAGTGCCTGATCTCCCTGATCTGCACTCTGTATTCCAGCCAACTTGTACCTGGCTGTCTCACAACTGTGGAGCTTTTGCTTCTGCTATTTTCTCTACTAGGACTTGGAGCTTAATGAAATTCTATTCTTCTTTCACTCTACTCATCCAGCCATGTCTGTAAGGCTTTCCTACAGCCCAGTCTTAATGTTCTCACAGCACTTTGCACAGAGTACTTTGAACTGTCTAAATTTAATCTCAGTATTTTGCAGTTATTCATACACAGTTCACTGTCCCCACTGCCACTGGATTGTGGGGGCCTTGAATGCAGGAAAGCACTCTTGTTCCTCTTTGTGTTTCTAAAGCCTGGGCTCATACGGAAAATAGAAGGTTTAATTGTCAAATAATGCATGAATTAATAAATGAATGAAGGCATGTACGCATGCATGGTATGGAAGTTATTCTAGTCATATGGAGGACAGATGAATAAAATTATCTCTGGTGTCCCTTGTAAGGCTGAGTTTATTACTTTATGATTTGCACATTCATATTAATTTAGTAGTTGGCTCAGCTGGTTAGAGCATGGAGTTAAGGAGGAGAGGCAACAGATCCCAACCCTCTATAGGCCAATTACCTTCACAGAGAATGAAGAGCAATAATCTGTATCCCTAAAAATAGCTAGTCAAGGCACTTCAGTATAAATCCATCTCCCCAACTGCAAAACCCTATGAAATTCATATCTTATTCCTGGAGGGCCAAATTGAGTGATCTTCCTATATTAAAGAAAACAGTCATACAAAGATGGATATATCTTCTGAAAGGAGAAACGTCTTCTATATGATTACAGACTCTATAAATACAAGTATCATTTTGCCTACAGTCCCAACTGATAAATGGCAAAGTCGGGACTTGAACTCATGACTGAATCCAGAGCTTTGGCTCTTAATAATGCCTAGAACATTGTAGGCACTTAACAAACATTAGTATTATTGTAGAGCACCTATATTTTAAAAACTTTAAATTAGACTCTTCATATTGAATAAAGTTAAAGGAAAATTAAGTCTAATTCAACTTTAGAGTACATTATTCTAATTCTCTTTACAAGTCTTTCAAATATTTATTTATTCACTGTATCTTACTCCTCCTCCATTGCTATCTCTTACTCATGATAATTAAAAATCATCACAAGCAGACCGGTTCATGGCTTAAAATCTTCCACTAAGACAGGCCCCATCTTTTTATTTTTCCCAAAGGCTGAAATATCGTCCTGCACACAGTTGTTCTGAGTAAATGGAGAGTGAATAATGATGGCTTCAGCAGTGGGTCACCCATTGGGAGTTACTGGTTCTGTGTTCTCTCCGTCTCGTTCACTGCATGCTGGGTGCTGCTGGCCACTGACATATCAGTCAGCATGCTTATTAGCCAGGGTATTAAAGTCACCTAGTAAATTCTGCTTTGGAAACTAGCAGCTAAAACATGTTGATTACAGGCAGTTCTCAAATTTTTGGTAACACACTGTGAGTGCAGCTTAGATAAGCCCACAGATAACCAAAATATCATACATATTAGCTACAATTTTAATATCTTGTCATAAAGCCATTACCCTAGATATTAAGCAGTAAGGTTCTATTACCTCTTCCTTACCCCCATCACCAAAGTGCTAATTAAGACTGATATCAAAATTAAGGGGAAAAGTAGCAATAATCTACGTTATATGAACCATAGCACCATATCTCATACCACAAAGCACCAGAATCTATACACCTGATAGACTGCAAACAGGTTTTTTATTTTACTTTCAAATTATTTGAATTATCTACTTCTTAAGTAACTTGCCTCTCCTTTCTACTTTTAAAAGTGATCTATTCTGTTGGTATATTTCTTCCCATTTTTCTACTTCTTCTCCAGACAAAATAAATTGGAATAAGTAATTGAAGACTGAGTAAATATGGAGATTTATATCATATTCTAATAACACAATAACTATTACTTGGTACTATTAATGCCAAGCCAGGTACATGGCAGGCCCTCAATAACTAAGCTATCTGAGTAAGAATTAATTTGGTGTCTGAAATTCTAAACTTCTGGAACACTTTATTTTTATCCTTAGCTGAGTGAGTTTAAGTTACTTGAGGATTATGTCTATGTTTTATTTACGTATCTATTCACACATTAAAAAAAAAAGTTAAACAAGACCTTAATTCAGAGGCCATTTCCTCTTTGATTCAGTTGCTACCAGAAGCCACAACACATGTATCTCTTTTACAACAAGACTCTTACCGTGATACATAACCAGAATTTTTGATGTCATTCCAACTATTGTCTTTAGATTCTCCACTTACAGAATCATATTTATTTTCAGTTTGACACTGAGTTTCAGATTCCTTCCTCTGCTGGTAAGGTGGGAAAAAAATCACTGTCAGTATAAAGCTGAACACAAGTTAACTAAAAATCTTAGGATGTAAAATAACACTGAAAAATAAAAACTAAACAAAATACTAATATTAACAAAAATAAAAAGCATAAAAGAACACAAAATACAACACTTTCCTTGTCAAAGGGAAGTGGAATGGTAGGGGTGGAGGCCAGACTGTAATGGGTTGAGGCGTGAAGGGGAGGGAAGAGAGGGAAATGAGAGTATGGGCAACAATGATTTTACAGTGAAACTTACATAAACGTACATCTCACCCCTTACCATTTAATACTTTCAACACTTTGAAATAAATTAGATTCTAAAAAATGCCTTACTCTGTGAGGATGAGGATGGAAGAGTCTGTGTACAATTAAAGTTGTTGCTATGATACAAAACAGAAGAGTTCCAACTATCTCTTTCCACCAATGTAAGAGGAGAACAGGATCCTTTTTGCGGATATTCTTGTTGTAATTGGGGTTGTCAAGGAATCTGACTGTGATCTGTGTGCTCCGTTTGCTCCGCTCCCTCTTGTAGTATGGTAGGTAATAACCATTATCTTCGAGGACAAACATTGAAAGTTTTTTTTTTAGAAAAAGATAAAGCAAAATAGAGTCACCTTTAATTGTTCAAAATTATCTACTCTGCTGTGACTTACAACACTAATTCCTTTTTTAAAAGTTTCATCTTTTCTTTAACACATTTCAACAGTTTCATTTACCCTTTTGTTTTTACTACACAAATAAATTTTCTTTTATTTCATAAGCATCATAAATATTCCTTACATTAAATAAGACAAGAAAAAAACCTTAAGGGTCACCCATTCACTAACTCCTTAATAGTTCGATCTTTAAAACACAAGAATGTATTAGTACTCAAATTGCCTTCAAGGAATTAAACTGCATTTTCATTTACCATTAATAAAATACCAAATTTTACCATTAAACATTCTTCACAAGCTAGAAGGGAAACATCTCCATCATGCTCATTGGTTCATTTCAGGCTTTGAAAATGAACTGGTCCTAGAAAACAGCCCGTCTTTTTTTGTCTTCTACAGCTGACCCTTGAACAATTCGCGGGTTAGGGGCACCAACCTCCACAGAGTCAAAAATCCACTTGTAACTTTCGACTCCCCAAAAACTTTATTAACAGCCTACTGTTGACTGGAAGTCTTACTGATGACATAAAATAGTTAATGCATATTTTCTGTTATATTATATACTGTATTAAAATAAAGCTAGAGAAAAGAAAATTTTTTCAAATTGTTACAAATTTCTGAACATTTTTCCAATATATTTATTGAAAAATCCATATCTAAGTGAACCCACATAGTTCAATTCCATAGTGCTCAAGAGTCACCTGTAATTTGTGCCATGTGGGCAGATTACACAGTTCTCTTTTACCTTATATTTTATCAGTATCAGATGAAGACTGCTGTTTCTATTTCACAGCCCTCTTTTTTTAAAAAAATAAATTTAAATTCCACAATAATTTCCCAGTTCTAGCATTTACGGTAGCTGATGAGGAGTCTATGTTTTTGTCTACTGCAGATTTAAGGATTTTGTATATATAACTGTTCAAAAGACTTTCGTATCTGAATATATCCTCACCTTAAATACACAGAAATGTATTTCATACTAAATTCCACCTATTTCTGACCTTTGCACTAATCTCTCTCATCTGAGGACAAAATTAAAGTAACTTTATTTTACAGTATTTCCATGTAATTCTACCGGGAACACCTATTTTCTTCATTATACATGCTGCTGGTATACAGACTATATTAGGTACTTAAATGAGAGCTAATAACAAGAACCAATGCTTTCTGAATGAACACTTAACTATGCCAGGTACAATGATAATTAAGACTGTGAGCACATGATCTCACTGAGACTTCACAACAATCCAATAAACAGATATTAGGATTCCTATCCTCACTTTACAGATGAAGGAACTGAGACACAGGCAAGCTAGGTGTGCCCAACCACGTATGTGGCAAAACTGGCACCAGCACCCTGGTAATCTTGCTTTGGAGCTTGCACCCTTGGCCACAATTCACAATACTGACTCTATTTTGCACAATAAAAGATATTTTATTGTCCACCTTCCTGTTGACTATCTTGCATTTGAATTCTATTAATTAAAGTCAAGTTAATAAATACATTATAAAATAAAACTTGGCATTTCCAATGTAAGCATAATCATACTTACCATACGGATACTGCAAGACTGAAAGTGCACCATTACTGTACTCTTCATGAGAAAACTTATCATTACTAAGACATTTGTCGAACTCATCAGACCCTACCAAGACAGGCGTTCTGGAAGGAGAATCTAAAAGAAAATGGTAAAATCTTAACTGTTATGACTTCAGTGACTCATTAAAAAAAAAAAAACCGTAGCTATCCAATCACAGTTCAGTTCAAATACAAGTCAAACAAATGGCTTTTCCTTTAACTAGCATGCTCTGGAAGAGAATATGAATCACTGAAACAAGTGATTAAAGTATGATGTGATATATGTGATAATAAAATACTCAGGGTTCAGAAAGAAAACTGAAGGAGGCAGGTGGTCTAGTATTTGAACTCAACTAATTGAAGTGTCTCAAAGAATATGATGGGATAACCATATAATTTTTCATGAATATTAATATAAATATGTTAATAGCTAAATGACACTTAGGCATGGTCAATAAATAGATGAGTTTTTCTAAGTTGTCTAGAAAAATATTTTAATAATACTGATTTCTACAGAAGCAAGTGCTGCTTCAATGAAACTGTATTCTAAATGATAAAATTCATTACCATCTGAAAAACCTTCCTAGTTTATCAGAAGATATAAAATGTATATTAGTTGTGATCTCTGTGATATTCAAAGCTAGACTAAAGACAGTCATGATTAGGTCTTTGAACACCTTAATGATATTTATAGAAGTTAATAATTCACTTACGAATTAAAGGTTTCCATTTGATTGTTGGCAAAGGAATAATTGCATTTTCATTATTGACAGATTCCAAGGCCTTGGGACTTGTAGGAAACTTTTCTGAAATTCTGACTGATGATTGCAGATATAGCTGGCCTCTGTACATTCCTGAATCAACCAGAACACTGGCAATTATGTTTAAAATCAAGCACCAATGATTTTTTTCCAACAGTTTCATTTTGATTTAATAAAACCAGATTAATTCCATATATTTCTTCATGTCCTTACATAGCTCTTTTCAAAGAATCATGCCTGAAGGACTCAAATTTGACCCAAAGTTTATGAAATAAAATGATGGGAGGAAAGCTACATGTATCACAATGTTTATCACTGAATAATAATTTTCAGTAACACTGGACAACTCTTCCTGTAGGAAGATTCAAAGAAAAGAAATCACTGTCCTCTTGTGAAACTAATAGCTTAGATGAAAGTAACTTCCTCAAGTAAACCTAAACACCCATGACTGCAGAGATATCGCTAACAATTTGGTTAAATATTGTCATAACACAGGTATGGCATGTTACTCTTTCAACTTCTTGCATTTCATTGAGATTGAGAGGTGGGTAGAACACTGATAGAGCTTAGGGAATTTTATGAGAATTTGAAACAAAACTAGTTGAAATAATTTGACTTGAGGGCTTTCAAAATTTATTAAAAGGGCTTCAATTGCCCAGAAGCACATCAGAATTTTGTTTTTATTTTTCAAATACATTGTATAGATGCACAGAAAAAAGTAAACATCATGTTTAAGGGGAGCAGACTGATACAGATGCAATACAGATGCAAGTACAAATGTAGAAAGTTTTCGGCTTTGTGGATTCATGTAAGCAATTTGAAATCATGCTATGTAATGTCAAAAACACTCCTAAGCTTTTCTAAAATAGTCTCAGAGAAAAAGAGCTACATAGTAATTAAAAGTTTCAGAACTAGATAAATGGGGAAAAACAGCAGGAATGGGAGTCAAATATAAATCTTAAGGGCAAACTAAGCCAGAGAATGTATTTAGGAATTAAAACATAGACACACCTTAAGTAGGAAGGAACATTGCAGGAAAAAAATCTATATGTCAATATGCTCTATCACTAGATAAAAGCCATGTACTCACCCAAGTAAACACTGTTTTCTGTGGCTCCTCGGGCAGCTTCTACAATGTCTTCTTCATCTTCTAAAACTTCATCATTAGATTTATAACTTGTATCATCAAAAAGACTGATGGGAATGACTTTGCCATCCTTAACCAACCAGGCAGATGCAATGGGAGTACAAAACTAACAAAAATGGAAAAGAAATTTTATATAATTTCAAGTAGTATTTACATATTTCAACTTCTAAAGTACCATTTAAAAACACAAATTTCTTTTTAAGATTTTATTTTTCCAGCTTTATTGAAGTATAATTGACAAAACATATATAATCATAGTATACATTTAAGATCTACTTTTTTCATTTGACAGTGTATACGTGTATCAGAACATCACATCATATACCTAAAATACAGTTTTTGTCAATTAAACTTCAACAAAGCTCGAAAAAACTTTTTAAAAAACATCTACTCTCTTAGTAAATTTCAAGTATACACTATAATATTATCAACTATAGTCATCATGCTGTACATTACAGCTCCAAAACTTATTGATCTCACATCACTGAAACTTTATACCCTTTGACCAACAGATTCCCATTTCTCCTACCCTCTAGCCTCTGGCAAACACCATTCCAACTCTCTGCTTCTATGAGCTCTATACTTTTTAAGACTCCACATGTAAGTGAGCTCATGCAGTATTTATCTTTTTATGTCCGGCTTATGCCACTTGGCATAATGTTCTCCAGGTTCATCCATGTTATTGCAAATGATAACATTTCCTTTTTTTTTTTT